AATGAGCATGAAACTGAGCAAACTCAGGGAGGCAGTGAAGGACAGGAAGGCCTGGCGCAATATGGTTCATGGGGTCACGAAGAGTCGGACACGACTTAACGACTAAACAACAACAAATTAACCTCTACCAAGGATTAGACATTCAGAATGGAGGGTGCCAACAAATACTTAGCTACAGCATTTTATGTCCAACCGACATATGATGGCTACTGTGCATTCATCTCACAGTATTTATTGAAATAGCTTAGAAAAAAAGTTATAACACTGTTCAGTAGTTTTCTCTGTAAAACAAACTGTGAAGAACTACAACTACAAATGGACTTACACCCAGTAATAAAACAAAGATGGATAATTTTATTCTGAAACAATTCTTTTCAATGCTAGCTACCTTCTGATGCTCCATTCAGGGTCTATCTTTTGAATGGTGGGATCCTCAGTATAATAATATGTAACATCAGAACTGCTAAGTACAGCCCGGTTTATATGAATGAGGATGGCTGAACTTCCTGGGATCTGACCAGGTGGTGTCCTACATTGGATCTCACCAGCATTTCTCCTGTGGGACATAGAAAGAAGGAAAAAAATGAAAACAATGTCATCTTTTCCATGGCTGTATCATGATACCAAACAAATCAAATATTTCATTTGTACTCAAGAGCCAAGCTTTCTTCTGCATGTACCTGGTAAAATAACTGACCTCAGTAACAAGATGTCCAAAGTATCACAGAATATAAATGCTGATTGTCTGATTCTCAAGCTGTGGTCCTGTGAGTGAGACTGTGCTAAACTAGGATAGGACAGAATAAATTTGTTCACTTAAGGCAGCAGTCCACAGACTACAGCCTTCCCATATTCACTGTCAGTTAATGAAGCAAGAGCCTGCTCACCACTTCAGCCCTCATCTCCCAGCATTCACTGCCAGTCAGCTATTTGCAAAAATGAATCAGTAGCTACAAACTGGTTTCCTGAAGTATGTAAGTAATAATACAAATAGCAACATGACTAAACCAACAATACTGAACAGGTCTTTAATGCCACTACTGATTGTTAATCTACATGTGGAGGCCAAGTGGAACTGTGGTCTTGCACAAGCAACCACAAAAGAAAATGCAAATAGAAAATACACTGAGTATCTAAAAATGAAATTTCAGTAGCCTGAAGATCTACTTTCCTTTATTTAGATTTATATGGCTGCCCACTTAACATGCAATTCTAGGTAGGTAGCAATCAATTAAAAACAAACAGAAATAACCAACAACAATTTAAAGACAGCACATTAGTCCCTTAGCACTTTCAAGATTCATTCATTCACTCACTTGCTCACTCACTCATTCATTCAGGTTGTAGGCTGCCCATCTCAAATACATGACTCTGGGTGTTTTCTTAATTTTCACCAGCAATTTTGGCTAAGAGTTGTTATTATGGCACATTCATAACCGAATTAAAGGGGTAAATAATATTTAATTTTAATTTTTTAAAAATTGTTTAAAAAGGTGTTCAGAAATGAGGGGTATGGGAAGACTTATGTGAACAATATAAATAAATATAATCATCTTACTTCCTGAAAAATGTGAAATTCCATGCTTTTAAAGAGGAAAATACATGAGGGGGTGTATATTTTTACGTATGTAAGGTGTAAGATAAAAGGCTTTTTGATAACTTATTCCAAAATATACTGGGTAACAAGATACTTTAGCTGTTGCTTGCAAATCCTGGTGGGCAGTGTCTAAAAGCTTCAGTTCAATTTGAGTGTTTGCAGAGGAATAATCTAAACCTGATACCCTTGTCAAATCAATACCTATTTGTTATATCTTGTCTGCTAACAAAGTTGTCCAAGTACTGGCAAAATTCTCTAAAGGGACTAGCACCAAAAGGCCAACAGGTATTCCAAAAATACATTATTTCAACTATAATTCAACAGCAGCTAACCAGTCTGAAATTGAAAGAGGGCATAAATCTGTTTCCAGTAACAAAACTACATTGGGGACACAACCTGGGATATGAAACAAAGCACAAAGGAACAGGGCTTGTAATGAATGATCATCTTTAATTCCTTTAATCCAGATTGCCACCCCATATCAAAATTGAGCCACTGTTTTGTCCTTAAAAAACCTGAATTACTGTGGAGGGGTGTTTGGAATAAAAATGTCTAAGAATCACTGGACCAGTGGCAGATGCCTTTTTATTAGCAAAATACTTAAGGGAAGACCATTAAAGAAGATGGTGGAATATCATCTCCAAATACATAAATTGCTTAACCTGCTCCAATTGATCACCATCTAAGTGTCATGACTGTGGTTTATAACTCCTCTCAAAAACCAATACTTTGGATTTAATGTAATTAATTTTCTGTGAATTAATATCACAGTACTTTGAGAAATTAATTAATAGGTGTTTACGGATGAGGTCATTCTGATTCATGACAGGAAAAGCAACAACAGAGTAGCAAGCCAAGTTGCCTTCCACCAACACTCCTTTTGATCTGATAGCAGTAAGAACTTGATTGATTCTGACCCATCATCTTTTGGCTTCATAAAGGGTAAACTAGGATAGAGATGCACAGAGAGAACAGATTCCACTAATGTCTCCCAAATTTTCCTTTCTGAAATCATCCCTGTGAAACCATGTTAGCTATTGGTGGTGGTTTGTTTATTTACAATTTAGATTTCTGAGGCCACCTAACTCACCAGCAACCCTGGGCTGTTCTAAGATTACCAATAGAAGAGAATATATGTAGCTCAGGGCTGAACTGTGGAGTCCATGGGGTCCTCTGAGCTTGGTTGCTTTCTTGTAACAAAACGAAATGTTTGCAAGAAAACAACCAAGCTTAGAGAACCCCATGGACTCCACTGTTCTAAAATTGGGAAGTTTTCCCCTGATGACAGAGATGGTAAGCAATAGAAAATTGGCCTGCCCAGAGGTTTACTTGGCAAGAAAAGAGCAGCACTGGTTCCACAGCTGGTGGACATGAAACATAAGCAGGGGGAATTATCTGGTGACACATGTTTGCTAAGAGTTCTCAATGGGCGCAAACATATATTACTCTTCCCTCTTCAAACAAGGAGGCACAAGGAAGATAATTTACAGCCATACCTGACACATTTATGGAAAGATATTTGAAAGATATAAGCCAATTGGGAAATCCAATGAATGTTAAACTGGAAGACGTCCTTGCAGAGCAGGGCAGGCTAAAAATATAGTAACTATGCAAGTAATTAAATTGAGGAAAAACAGAAAACTTGCAACAATGCTACAACTTCAGGGATCAAATGGAACTGGAAGATGTGAGAGGCTCCTCCTTAGGCATGGCAAGTGTCTTTTTTCCCCACTTAAAAAGCATAGATAGAAACTCCCAATTGGTGCCCTGTGCTACTATAGAATCTCACTTGTATGAAGCACAGAGATAGTAACCAAAAAGCGGCACTACTGTAAATTATAACATGAATTCAATAGTATTACCTGAATTATCAGTGTCCCTAGTGCAGTTTCCATACAGTCATAACTTTGAATTTACACATGAAAAAAGTGTGGAATGGACACTAGGATTTCCTTGAGAAAGTTCCAGGCCTGGCTGTCTTTTCAACAGTTTACAATAGGTTTTTGACAAATAAATATTAATCTCTGCAACTGGTCCTTCCCTGCCCACTCCCTCTAATTTCCTAGGGAAGTTCTGCTAAAATTATCAGTTAATGTAAAAAGGAAATAAAGCACAGACAGTCCTTGAAGCTGGCATAGCTCTGGAGCGTTCTCCATCATGCGGCTGCTGCAAACAGCAGCGATTAAGGCTGATAACCAGTAATTACTGCACAAAAATATTTAAAGAGCCGCTCCATTATCATCCCTAATCTAAAAATTATCCACTTCATGGCTCAGGGATTTGTGCTTTTTATAAGGAAAAAAAAATCATTCTTTGGTCTTTCTTCTTTAAAAAACAAAACAAAACAAAACTGAACCTTGAAAAGAAATTCCACAAGCTACACTGAAATTTTTGCTTGGCTCCTTAAGAATACTATCTTATTTCACATTGTACTCTTATGTTTACATCCAATACATACATGCAGTTGTATAGTTCAGTGCATTCAACCCTTTCTTCTCTCTCTATAGTGACCCACCACCATTTGTACCCCAGACCGAGAAAGCTCACCCTGCAAAAGCACATGGTTGCCCCCCGATGGTCACTGTGATGTTACTTCCTGCATTGAGATGCCTTCCTCTGATGCTGATCCAGGTGCCCCCAGAGAGAGGGCCACGAGCTGGGATGACTTGCGAGAAAGTAGGAGCCTGTCAAAAGGAAACATAGTCAGCTCACAGGGTTCAGAAGATATCCTTAATGTCCAAGCACAACAAAAAGAAATATGGGGAAGACTTATAAGCAAAAGAAAAAGAAAGAAAGAAAGAAAGAAAGAAAGAAAGAAAGAAAGAAAGAAAGAAAGAAAGAAAGAAAGAAAGAAAAAAGAAAGAGAAAAAGAAAAAGAAAAAGAAAAAGAAAAAGAAAAAGAAAAAGTTCTTCTCACCCCAGGCACTATGGTTATCATATTGCCATGATTAAAGAAACAGCAGAATAGAAAATCAATTACAAGAATATCTGTGCTAGTTCAGTGCTAGTTCATATACAGTTATTTTTCCTTAATTTTCTAATTGTCTGAATTTGTACACTACCTCAATCCACTGGTTCCTTTGATGTTCATAACAAGATAAAATACATAATAATATGAAACAAAATAAAGGAGACTAAAGGAATAATAAGGTTAGCAATTAAAAGCAACAGATTAAACTGGTTAAGGCTCAGCATTTTAAACACCTAAAAATTAAAATATTGGGCAAATATATCATAATTTTATTCACTTGCTCATGCACACATATTATGGTGCCTTACAGATAGGCAAATTGATGCCTTTCAAATGTTTTAGTTATAACTACCATCATTCAGGGACATTTGGAGAGGGCACCATTATTTGTACCCCTCTACTAGCCAGAGAACACCTGTTTAACAATAAATGCTGTACAGGACAATCTTAGTAACTGACAGAACATTTTAACCAGCCAGTTTCACTAGTCACTTTACAGTTTTGATAACGACATTGCAATCAGCAGATGCCAAGCTCTAAATCAGTAAAAAGGAACAGTGCATCCTTGAGATACTTCTGTTTAAATCTTGATCTAGTCCAATCTTAATTAATGACTGCTTCAGTGATATCTAGGGGATCGGGAGCCTCCTTAGTTAAAATCACACAAGAATCCCAGTTTGAGCAAAAATGTTTTCTATCTTCCAAGGCTGAACAGATGGACTGCTAATTTCTCTGCATCCCTTTTGTGTGTCTTACTGAAAAGGTTAGGATAAAAAATGTGTGTGTGTGTGTATAAAACTTATAAATAAATAAATTTGTTGCTTATATAGCAACAAATAAGAAACATAAAAATAGTTAGAATAAGGGTTTGTGATGGAAAAACAACTAAATGACATACATAGGGGAAAAAGGGGATTCGGCGTGAGAAGAGATGGCAAAGGCAAACGTCTAATACTTTGACCTTACCACAAAGGTGAAGCTTTTTGGAGCTATAGCCTTGTAGCTGGGGGAACAGTCTCTGACACACACTTCTACAGGAGCGTCTTGAATTTTGCTGGGGCTGGCCTCTCCAATCTCACAGACAATCCTACAGAAGGCACACCAGGTGAACTTGTTATAAATACATGAAATGTCAGTGGTCCTGTTAGACATATGAAGTGTAGCTACCCTGCAGATCATCGGCCATATCCCTATGCCAAATATTTCTAATGTTCTTGATAGTGAGAATAAATACTTTCTTTCAACCTTGTCATTATATTTTGATGGTCTGTTGTTGTTTTAATTAAATGTCATTTAACAATTTCAGGAAATGATGTCTTAGCATACATCAAATTGGTATTTGAACAATAGGCATATTAAAATTGCAGAATACATAAAATATTACAAGTAGAATATAATTTGACTCAGTAGGAAATCAATTAAAATTTAACACAACTAAAAAGAAAAAAACCCATTTATTTTCATTCCTCTCACATCCTATCACAGTATGTGTTAATGTAATGTAATGCACATCCATAAGTTAAGCAGTGGAAAATATTCCTATATACTTCTGGCTTTGTATTTTCACATAATTACTATCTACATATGAAAAGAAAGACACCCACTAAATGATCATACATTGATTTTTCTTATTACATCCTACTGATTTTTAAACTTGCTCTGTATTTTTTGATATAATTTTCAACTAGGTAAATCTGAAGACTTAGATAGTGGTACACAGAACATATATGGCTAGCCAGAATTGACCAGCTTTAGATAGTGTTGCTCTGTAAATACATAGAAATATTCAAAGTGGACTTTTAAGTTAATACAAACTAGTAAAAAATCATTTTCCTCTCCCCCCCCCCCATAACAGGTACATTTTGTTTTCAAAATCAAAACTCTCTGTTAACTACTTGCAGAATCAATGATAATTTGCCATTCACTATTTTCCAGAAATGATTTATGAAGCCAGAAGAATTTTTCTGACAGACATGTCACAGAAGATTTGGTATATCCCTTGATATTTTGCCACTGTTTTGTGGAACCAAACTCAGAGGAGATCTGGCATTATTATTTTTTTCAAGCTATCCCTGCCACTGATTTTCTCCTCTAAATTGCTCAGAGAAATGCTTATATACTTGCCAACTCATTTAATAATCACAGCAATCCTATGAGGTAGATTAGGATGAACGATAATTGCTTCTAGCATGAACCAGTGACCTTCATGGATAAGCAGGAACTTGAACCTTTGTCCAAGTTCAACTGTCTTTTCATCTTCACCCCATTGGCTCTTTCCAAAATAAGGAACCATGATTGCACAGTGAGTTAAATCAAGAAGTGCTGATGGTGACTAGAGCTCTAGAAGAAAAATCTCAGCCATCTTTCCTCATTGGCAGCACACAGATCTCCACTCTCCTACTTCCAACAGCAATGTAGGATCTCATCCATGACACCACTTTGCTATATGCAACACAGTCATCTGTGGTTTGTAGGATACTCACTGTTCAGCACTGATATATTCGCTTTCAATGGGTATGCACATCACTTTGCCAACCCGCACGCCCATGCGCACATCTTCAAACTTCAGACCCAAGTTCTCACCAGTGATGGTTAACCGAGTACCACCTTGTCGGGGGCCTGTTTCAGGAAACAGCTAAGAAGAAACAAAGCAGACTGTTATGAAATTCATCAGATCTCCTGTGACCAACATAAAGATCTGCTACAGCACTCTGTTGTACAATCCCCCAATCTACATACTAGTAATTATGGTACTATAATTTCTAAAGTTTGAGGCAGGTTGCCATTTACAATGAACTCATCAGTAGATAAACTGAAATTAAGGTACTAATCATTTAAAATTCAAGCAGCCCATCTATAGTCCCTCTTCCTCCTGTACCCCAGCAATAATTCCCTCTTCCTCCTGTACCCCACTGTTACACATTCCATTTTCTACTTTTCATGATACATCCCTCCGAACTTATCAGAACATGAAAATGGAAATAGTAAACCCATGTTCTACTAGGAGATGGTTTGCTCATGCAATTAGCAATGGACTATGCTTCAGGATGGCACAGGGCATCCTTCTTCCTAGCATTCCGCTTGTTTAGCCCTAGATGTTCTCAGAAAGCCTACTATTTCTCTTTCATGCTATGAATTAATAGAAGAGAAGTCATCCTTTGAGAGCCCTCTTCACAAAGAAGACACCAATTAACTCATACAAAATGGGTCTTCTATTTCTCTAGTATTTCTGGTATATCCCAGCACACAAAAGTTTCTGCCAGCACCAGCTGGGGAAGGAGGAGAGCCCCAGCAGAGCACGATATGGCTCATTTGTTAGGATGATTCCCAATAAAGCGGACAGGTGTGGCTTGACATATGCCAGCGTGATGACAGATGAGCAGTGTGTTACAGGCCCACCATTGCCACTAACAAGGTAATTATGGGCAATTTTACACCACATTTTGCTGGCCCCCAGTGCTTGGCATACACCTGCAAGGGATAAAAAGGATTAATGGGCATCCAGCTGGGAAAGCTCTGTGCTGGGTCACCAACAACCCCAAGCCAAGGGAAGGGACTCCGGGGCTGAAATAGCATAAATGGACCTAGCAAAATCAAGTACTAACTTATTAGCTGATCGGTCAAGCTGGCCCCTCTGCTGATCCTAGACATAGGCTATGCTGTCCTTTTCTAAGCTAGGTAGACAGGCTTAGGAATAGCAGACAGCTTTCAAATATGCTCTATTATTTATTTAATTTGCCATGCTGCCCGCTCCTAAATGCTCAGGAAAGATTTCATGTTTAAAAATAGGCAGAAGGCATAAAAGCATAGCCAAGACAAAGCCTCTCAATACTGCCTACAGAACAGCTTTATACTGCCTCTAGAAAACGCAGAGGGGCTGGCAAGCTTCCAAGAGACGGGATTTCTATCTTTGTGAGTCAGCCAGCAAGTTACTTCACTGCATGCTGTTGCACAGATCGCATTGTTTAAAAAAAGCATTTATTCAATTGATCTTAATGGAGGTGATGAGTCATAAGCTAGGAAAGTTTCCCAAAGCCTGGCATGCCCAACCTGCTTAGTTCTAAGCCTACATCTAGCATTGCGGCTAGAGAGCAATATAAACAGTTATCTATATAAGTATGACCACCTGGAAGCTTCAGCTGGTCAAAAATGCAGCAGGATGAACAAAGATGCCCATCCCACTGCACTGGTTGCCAGTTTGTTTCCAGGTGTGATTCAGGGTGCTGGTTATGACCTTTAAAGATCTACATGGCAAAGGGCCTGGTTACTTAAGCAACTGTCTATCTCCTGTGGTGTTGGCTTGGCTAGTCTGATCCAACAGGGTTGCACATTCCAGGTTCCTCCAATTAAGCAATGCTTTCTATTGAGATTCCAGAAACGTGCCTTCTCTGTCATGGCACCTATCCTCTAGAATGAAGTCCTCCCTGAGATCTGGTGGTTCCCACCCTAATGGTGTTCTGCAGGGCCTTAAACACCTGGTTCGTCTCCCAGGTTTAGGCTGGTTGGAGTCCCTTGCTGGGTACAAGATGTTTGTTGTTGACCAAATTTGTTGGATGGATGGATGGACGGATGGACAGACAGATATGGTTTTTTATGCTGTGAGCCACCAGAGTCAATTGGAGTCAAGCGGTGTCTAAATCAAAGGAGGGGAGGGGAGGGGAGGAGAGGCTATTTCGTACACTTCCAGGAAAGGATGCAAACATAAAAAACATCATCCTTCTAGATTCCTGTCAGATATTAAATGCAACAACCCATAAGGGGAGTGGGGGAGAGAAAGAAAGGAGCTGAAAAGATCTGATGGTGGTTAGATAGTGATGTCAATGTCCTGAGCTTCAAATACAGCATATCCAACTGCCTCCTCCCCACCTCTGATTTTCTCAAGACCCTCCATTACTTGCTAACCTTAACCCATTGATGACTATTTCAAGCATTCCATTATGAGAATTAAGGAAATGAGAGTACAGGGAAGATAGTAGGCAGGTAGGCTGACACACAGGCTGTGTGAAGAAGGAGGAAGAAGAGAGGTGAGACACACTAGCCTTGCCCTACTTCCCTGTAAGACCCCCTCCAAACTTTGTCTTGGCTGAAACCCAGAATTAACAAAATCTTCCAGGTTTTGATTCTGCTAAACCACTCCCCACCTGGAAAAGTTTGGTAGAACTTCTGAGATGCAATGTGTTTCTTTCAGGTTTGACACAGAACACACTTTTCATCCATATCCTCACTGACTCTCCCTATTGACAACTGGAGAAAAGGTTCTACTGGATAATGACCAAATAACAAGGTGCAGATCTGTTGCTGTTTGCCCAGAGCCAACATGGGTCATGTCCACAAAGCCCATCTTTGCTCTCTGATTGCAGGTTACTCCATATGTTAACTCTGACAAGGCATAAAGGAGTCAATTGCCATGCTTTAGAATTTATACAAGACAAGGCAATTTGAAAACTGGAGTCTGTCATTCACCTAAACTTAATCTAATCATCCACCGCAGTCCTGGATCAGATCTCAATGAAGCAGCTGTTGCAACAGGCAACTTGAGTTATTCTTCCCTAAACTGGGCTCCTCTGGGTACCTGGTGAGTTGTGGCTGTTTGTTTGTATTGTTAAATTAGTGCTAAAGGCTGCCATAGTGTGTTAGATTCCCCCTCTACTACAGCAAAACTGACAAGGGCCACATATTTGGGGAGAAGGAACTCTGGGAAAACGTTGACACTGCTTGATACACTGTATGTGTGTGTGGGTGGGTGGGTCACACCTAAACAAGACACTTGGGAGCCAGAGCTGGCAGGAAAATCTGGCTATTTGTTTCTCTCCATATACACAAATTCCCATCCCAGCTTTGTCTGACAAACAGCAGCCCTCTTCAGCTAATTGGTTTCGGAGCACAACCCTTCAAATCTGCCAAATGAAGTGAATGCAAGAGCTACCAGTCCCTAAAACATGAAATAATGAATCATCTACTAAGTGGCTTGATTATTTGATCATTTAATTTCAGTATAGCTGTTCTGTCCATGCAGTTGAGAATGTTGACCATGGAGCATGAGACTGCAGGCACAGAAGTGAGCCAAACTTTGAAACAACACAACCATATAGGCCAACCTTCAATATTGTTATCTGGCAGTCAGCAAAGCGTATTTTAGCTGGGATCCCAAAAAGAGGTTTTCGTAGAGAAGTAAAGCAACACTGGCAACGAAGTGCAGCATTTTGGTGTGGTAGATTTGCTTCTCCATATCCAAAATATGATCCAAAGACAAATATTTGGGTCAGATTTTGGTCTGTAATATCATGCCAAAATGATAAAAGGCAATACTAAAGGAACTGAGAATGGATTGACATAGAGTGCTTTTAATGTTAACACAAAAGCCCTCAATTTCCTGTGGGTAAAATGGGAATATTAAGATTACACTCAGTCACTTGGCATGATATTATTATTACAATAGCAAGAGATAGCAATTGTGAAGTATTTCTTAGCACACTAACAGTGTTAAAGGGGTAACCCAAACAATCTTGTCAAATCAAGCAAGAGCAATTTAATTTAATTAGCAGACCACATAAATGCTTTTTATTCGGGCAGCTGGAACAATATATTCTCACTGATTCTCCCAGTTCAGCTCTATCAGAGCTCTTCTAGAACACTTGAAATAGAGAAGTTATAGCTGAAGCAGATAACCATCTTCTCTTCCAATCAAGGATCTTCTACAAATCTCCTTCATTGTTTTCTACGGCAATGTTTCAAGAAAGAGGAAGGCATTATCTTAGCAGTGCATCAAAGGACAGAGCTGAATTTATTTTTCAGCACTAAAACACTTCTCTTCTAAAAGCTAAAATCCCAAACACCAGCTTTCTATTTTAAATGGATGTACTTCAACCCTATTTCCCTTCAATCTAGCAGAAATCACAGGCTGGGGTCATAACTGTAAGCTTTAACATTTGGTTTTGCTTGGGTTTGGCCAATTACTGTAGTTTGTAAACCAGGGCTGGTTGCTTAGCACAATGTCTGAATCCATAATTTATGGCTTAATAAACATTTTTTTAACTATCTTAGTTTGCTGTGTAAACTCATCCACTGTTTGTTCCTGAAGAGAAATAGACCAAGTAACTTCACTACAGTGGTACCTCGGGATACGAACTTAATCCGTTCCATGACTCTGGTTGCAACTCGAG